ATAATAAGCACTTTGGGTTTAACTATTTCTACTTGGCTCTAGCTGAATATGTTGAAATATGGCTACCTAGGGTAGGCCAAACATCAGTCTTCATGGTGTGTCTCCACCAAAGAACTCTTTCCTTACAGGTCAGTTACATTTCAACAATATATAGTCTGGAGAAAACTGGCAAAGCCACCTTCTTCAAGTCAATATTTAATAATAGTAAATTATAATGGGGCATTGCTTTCATTTTGCCCATACAGCCTGAGCAAGAAAGGGACAAAAGGCAAGTTGAAATAAATACCTAGCTAAGTCCCCTCCTCCCACCTCCGTTCTGGCTACTTGACAGACTCAAGATAGCCAAGTGATAATCACAGGCCTGCGGAGGTTCTACCAAGTTCTCAAATTGTGTCCAGATTTTTTTTGTGGCAATAACAAAAACAGTGTTCTATTTTATTCCACTAAGCATACACATACAGCAGGAGTCACCAATGCCTGGGCTGCAGACTGTGACTGGGTTGTAGCTCATTGGGAATCAGGTCACCAAAGCGGCAGGCAAGCACGCAAAGCTGCATTTGCGCATGTCCGGGATTTAGGTCGTGCACAGACAACCATCCCCCCCCACCCCGTTATCAAAACCACCGAAGCCACTGATGGTCTGCAGAACCAAAAAAGTTGGGGACCCCTGATGTGCAATATATATCCAAATCCCAACTCATATATAACCAGTATGCACTGCCCGATGTAGCACATGAAAAAAGTTGCTCAAAATGTTAATGGATGCACTACTGCATTACTGCCTTTTGCCCACTTCAAATGGCAATGGACAGCAGCCAAAATTCTTCTTCAGAAAAGCTTTGACTTGAATGAGATTTTGCAGTGTTTCTAATATAGTACAAAGGCAAAAACTATTCTTTGGAGGATCTTGGGCATGGATCTAGCAGTTTTCTGAAACTCATCTTTTTCTGGGATTCTGAAACAGCTACAGGAGGCATTCGTGCCATCCCAACAGCAGTTGCAGCTGCTTTAAGGAGGTGCAAACAGGTGCCATGTTTGTGTCACGTGCACCTCACAACATCTTTGTGTTTAAATCAGAAATGCAGCACTGTACTCTTAATGAGGAAATCCAGAGTGCCTGGAGGGTGTAATGCTGGCCCTGCTTGACGTATAAGGAAAAATTATTTTATTTTGTTATTTAAATGACTTATAGACCCACCCATCTCATGGAAGAGGCTCTGGGCGGCGTATAAAGGTTAAAACCAACACCACAACATACAATCTATGATGGCGAGAAGATGGCTACCGCTGTAATGATAAGATTTTACAGAGCTGTAGCTATTTTGTGCATTGTACAGTGCGAAGTTCTTTGCTTTGACAGGATTAAAAAAAATCTAACAGAGCTGTCATTTGGGGACCAAGCAGTCAAGAGCTGTACAAAAAGACAAGCAATCAATATTCATAGCAAAGTTCTTATCATCAGAGGAAAAGCTTGGGCTGTGGTTGTTTTTTAAAGGGTCATAATTCTGACCTTTAGCAGAATTTTATGGCAAGAAAGGCTGAGGCACTATACATATTATGGAAATTGGGAAAAGATAGGAAAAGTTGCTTATTTAGCATAATTTATTATTCTACCCAAGATGAGGGCCAACAAAGTACAAAAAGGAATTAAGGTGCCTTCAGAGGCCCAACTTTCCCTTCCAACTTTTTGCAGTATTACTCAAGCATTGTTGAAGTCTACCTTCACAAGGCAGGAGGAGGAAGAACCAAATCACCTTTTATAGTCAAGGGGAAGACAAGAGGGTGGGGATGAATAAAAGCTAAAAGAGCAAGAATCCTAAATGTGATGCTTCTGAAATGGCAACTGAATCCACAAAAAGCAAAATAAGGTAAATTAATCTGGGTATACCCCAAAGAGGGGGTGTATGCTTCAATATTTAAATCACATTACATACATCAAAGGACACTTCTAAACACATTTAACCTTAAATAAATATTAACAATTCAACGGACTTATTCCTCGATACAGTTATATAAAAACTGTAGTCTGTCATATTTGCAGGAAAATTAAGGAACAGTGTATAGACTCTTTAAGATTTTGTTCAGCAGTTAAGAACATGGGAGTTAAGACTTGAGGGAAGAAAAAATGTCAAAGTTTTGTTAGCATGGAGGATGACATGTAGATATAACACAGGCTTAAACCAAGTTTAAAATCTACCCATTAGACAACTGTGGGAAAATGGCAGTATCCCATCAACTGTTCCTCATCTGCATGCAGGAGAAATTGTCCCATAGGCACTGAAAGGATAAAACATAAATGCCATCACAACCAATGAAGAATAATAAGAGACAGAGCAACTATAAGCATTGTTTTGAATAGTGGAGATGGTCATGAGAGATCAGAATCAACCTCCCACTCAAAGATAGTCCATCAATGCAGTCTATGCAGACTTAATCATTATTGAGTCCAGTAGGCCTCAATAAGACTCACTCCCCCAGTTTATTCTGTGAATGAATAACAAGGGAATCAAAAGACGATGCAATAGTATAATGTTTTCCATTCTCATGTTTCTTATTTCATGCATTTAAAACATTGCAAGTTGGCTCATTTACCTGCATCAAGTACAGCTCTTTTACCTTGTGGACATACTTTCTGCAGGTGCTTTTGCCATAGAGTGCTCGGATCTGCCTTGTGTGTGTAACTAAAGTAGTTAAAGAGAGGCAATCTGGTACCATTTTGCCTCTTGGAAGATTGAGGCCCTACTAGACTGCAGGTGCCCCCAATTCCTAAACATCTGGAGCACTGTATTGCAACTTCAAGAAATAACTGTTTGGCTCCAATACAGTTTATTCAATAACAAGTCACATTCAAGGGTAACCAAAACCCACTGACCAGTAAACAAAAAAAAAGTTAGCTACTTAGATTCTAAGAAGAAGTCCTAAAATATTAAAAAGAGGGAAAGAAAGATTTCATTGCAACCAAGCTTTCCCAAGTCCCTTGTCTTCTGAAGACTGAGCAGCTAAGATATCAATGCAGTTCTCTCTGCAGATCCCTAAGACCTGGCCCAAATGCCAAGTCCACTGAGTGCCAAAAACCAATCATCCATGCTTCAGTTGGCAGGGAGAGAAATAAGTTGGAAGGGGAAAGCCATCTCATCAACACAGAATTAAGTACCCTAATGAGCATATGCCAGATAGACAAAAACATTTTCCTCAAAGGTTCAGGAGCCAAATGAGGACAAACTAACTAGAAAGACATGGCAGAGGCTATGTTGTCAGCCCCAACAAAATAAATAGTAAAATAGGTTGACAAGAAGGAAATCAGGCCCTCTAATAAATACTAGGTTACTTATAGGGGACAAACCTAGAAAGATCAAGCTAGGCCCACTCCCTTTTTTCAGGCTTTTGCACCAAATGTCTCCAGGGGTAATCTGGCCAGCAGCTGCCCCAAAGCAATTCCTCTCAGGACAACCCTAATCCATGCCAACCTTCCAGCATCGTCATAAGAACCATTTACTTACCCACACATTATGAGTTGCAGATGCAGTGCTGCGTGGAGAGGAGATGGAAGCCCCCTCCCCCCACATTACATCATCAGACTTGTGAGGCAGCAGGTGATAGCATCAGGTCTGGAGGTGGGAAGTGAGAAAATGAACACCCTTCCAGCCTGACCAAGAACAGCTGGAATTCCAGAACAGAAATCAGCTCACATCAGTTTGTCGTCCTCTGGAATTCAGTTTCTTCTCTCTTTTTCCTAGCCAGAAACAATGCTGATCCCCATTACATTCTTTCCACACACATTTCTGCACATGGTTTCCAGGGGAGAAAGAAAGCAAGAGCACACAATCTTTTTCCATGTATATAAAGTGTTAAAGGGGTGGGGGGGAGGGAAGGATTCCTTGATTCTCTAGGAAAAACATACATCCAATTCCAACCACCTCTCCACCTATCGTGAAAAGAAATGCTACAAGCTTTACGATACGACTGATGAAATGCAACTTAACTATTTAGAAAGAATAACTACTTTTAAGATCAGAAGGGCAAAGATTTCTCACCTCCAAGAGAGAGAATATGATCATGATTAGAGAGGGAGAAAAAAAGGCAATTTGAGAAGTCAATCTGAACATAAAGCAAAGAACAAGAGGATGTCCCTAAAAAAGGGGGAGTGAAAGATTCACCCAGCAAGTTCAAACACCTCTTAGAAAAGGACATCTAACCCTGAATCATCAGTTACAGGATGAATATTAAATACCCAGACTGAATCTCAAAAAGCCCAGAGACAATGAAAAGCTTGAACATAAAAGGAAGGCCTGATAGGAATGGGGAATCTTTGGGGCATGGCAGTTAAATGGGAGAAGTAGATGGGGGTGGGGGGAGTCAATAATACAGATGGGACATAAAATGCCGAAGACTCAAGATCCATGCAAGTCCAACCCTACTTTTCTTAATTTCAGCACTAAGGTATGCAGGTTTCAAACCCTAAAGGGGTGGGTCCCAGGGACTTTGTAGAAAGAACTTGAAACCAGGGAAGGAAGATTAAGAAGAAAGTCTGGGCTCTAATATCCTGAACTAAAACAGTTTGCCTTTGGGCCAAAAGGAGCAGGATCTGATTCATGCAGCTCTATTGAGGAAGAGTTTGGAAATAGACTCGAGATAAATATGGAATAGAAACAGCTGAAAAACAGATCAACATAGAGTCATAGACCCCACTTTTCCCTAAGGAAAGAGAAAGACGGCAAATATTTTTAACGAGAATTCAGTGATTAATTAAGCATAGTATTAGGAGTTTTTTGGGGGGCGGGGGTGTTTAGGCCAGTAAAGAATTAAAGAAAGGTCAACCAGACCGCTTGCGTGATCAGATCTGTCGTATGAAAACGGGCGATCCGACCTAAACGCAGGGAGAATGATCCCTCAAGGGGGGAAGATTCGGAACAAGGGCTCAAAGGTCCTGTGGATTCCACGACCCGCTTCCCCCCACCCCCGCCGCCCCAATCTCTCCTTGGTAAAGAATCGTCTCTTACCTTGGCGGCGGTTACTGCTATTGCGAGTCCCAGTAATCCTCGGCCATGGCCGCCAGCATGGGCCGCCTCTGAACTCGGCACCCCTCAACCACCCATGGTCACCCCCCAAGCCCGGGTCTGCTCGGCTCCTCCCTCCCAGCTCCGAAGAACCACCCCCCAGCTCAGCCGCCTCCCACCCTACGACTGACCAACGCCAACCCCCTGGCTGGGGCTTAACTCTCCCCTCCTCTTTGGAGCGTACCATTCCCTATCAACGTGGGTAAAACCGCCAGAAAAGCTGGAGGCCTTGCACAGTTAATGTTACCCCACACTTAAAGAAGGGAAGGGAAAGAACCAGAAACAGCACTTCAGCCATTTCCAGAAATACAGTTTTACGAATCTGTGCGAGATCAATGAAGTATCCCCCTCTTTCATTTCATGTGGTAGAATCCCAACCTTCTTACTTTCCCGAGATGTGAGGGGGTGGGGAATCTCCCCTTAATAAAAGCGTCGATATTTTATTCTGTATTTTGATGAAACCTTTTGATTTTGATCCGTTCGCAATAAATCCCAGTCGCCGCACATGACAACTTTCAGATCTTCGGTAGACGTTAAAGGAACGGCCTAACCTCCATGTGCATCACAATGGTACATTCCACATCATTTCCCCGCCCCCCTCCTCCAACAACCGTTCCTTTTAATCATTAGCAGACGTTGCGTCTCCACCGTTTGCTGGGAAGAATGGGGGATGCTTTTAGTTTCGGAAAACAGATAGCGGCAACTCATATTCACTTTCAACGGGCTTGAGCAGAACCACGAATCTCTGGGTGTTTAAATCTTTTCAAGTCGGGAGCCTGCAAATGGGTGGAGGCGCATCTGGGTTACCAGTATCTCTAAACCCAAAACTACTCTTCCAGGCTTAAGCGAAAACTAAGTGATTAGCTGCAGAAGGATGGGTTGCGCGACAACCCATCGACGTCATATTAATTAGTTACGTCTAAGTCAGTAGGCGATGAGTTAAATTAAGCAAAGTGAACTCAAGTTCACCCAGAAGTATTTCTTGGGGATGGTGGGCGGGTGTGACCGTAAAGCATAGCGCGCTGCGATCGGCGCAGCAGAATTTGGAACGCCCGTCTAAAATTTCGGAGCATTGTTGTAACATTCCAAGGTCTTCCTGAAATGAAGGAAAGACGAGAATAAAAAGCTCTTCCTTCGCCAGCTGTAGTGGTTTCGCCCTCGGAATTCGCCCACTGGATGCTTCTTTCCTCCCATAATCCTAAAGGGAAAGCGATAGACTTTGATTTAACTTCTTTTCCTTCCACTAATCGGTGGTGCCCTTGTTCGTGGCCGGTTTTATACTTTGCACCACCGAATTGGGTGTCAAATGGTTTTTCTTTTTTTGCCGTTGCAAGCCCGTCTGAACGTTAAACAAATAAAGAGGTTTTCAAAGTGTTGTCTTTGTTTTGCATTGCCTGTTTTCTAATAGTTTGCCGTAATTAATCTCCACTTTTTTTTTAATTACTGGGGTGTAGAGCAGGATCTAAGAAGAGAGAGAGAAAAGGCATTTTCTTTTCTTGCAGCCTTAGGTGATTAGTACAGCTAATGTGCTGGACTTCTGTGGCATTAAGTCTTGCTTCTGGGCCTTATCCTGGCTCTAGTAGTTAAATTTCAGCTAGGATGGATTATAGAAGAATAATCATATTCCCTTGGTCTGCCATACCGTCCATAACCTTGATAATGTGTGAAGAAGGGATTTTAATAGAGAGCCATGGTGTTGCTCTTGAGAGTTTTTCAGAAGTTTATTAGGCCCCAAAAGGCTGCTGTCATAGTAACAAGACTAAAGACACAGTAACCAGTTAGGACTGTTAGGTCATAGTCACCATTTGAAAGGGTGTTATTTCCCAGAACAACTTGCCCTCCAGCCAAAGGGTCCCAGGGTGAAAAAGGGATTAAAAAGAGCAAACTGGAATCCACAGAGATAATTGAAGGATTTGTTTGTCTAATCTCTTACAATACTTAATGCAGAAATCCAATTAAAATTATAATTTACAAATAATTGCCTTTTTGCTCAGCAAAGAAGAGCTAACTTACCCATACCATTGTCAGAATGCTTTTAATAAGCTTATATTTAGCAGAAATCTGCCTTTTTGTGACTTTACTCTGTGTCCTGAACCTTATGTTGGAACACAAGTAAGACATGTTTTCCAAGTAGTTTGTTCTTGACTTGAGACCACAATTGAGCCCAAAATGTCTGTTGTTAAGTGAGACATGAGTTTTGCTCCCTTTTACAACCTTTCTTGCTACAGTTGTTAAGTGAGTCACTGAACTTGATACGTTAGCAACCTGGTGGTTAAGCAAATCTGGCTTCCTCATTGACTTTCCTTGTCAAAAGATTGCAGCAGGTAATTACATGACCTTGGAGCACAGCAACTGTCATAAGTATGAACCAATTGCCAAGCATCTGAATTTTGATGTGATCATGGGGATGCTGCAAAAATCATCACTATGAAAAATGGTCATGTCACTTTTTTTCAGTGCCGTAACTTTGAATTAACACTAAATTAAACTGTTGGAGGTCAAGGATTACTGTACTACCTTCAAATAACTTGCAGAATGCTATCCACCTCTGCCATCTTTTCTAGACCAGTGGGTTTTTTTTTTTTTTAAATTTAAGACATCTTCCCACTTTTAAAAATTATGGAGGATCCCAAAACAGTTTGTGCTTCTATGGTTTATATTTATCAATATTCATTATATTAAAATTGACCTGTTCGCTCCTGCTTCCCACAGTTGTTTGATTTTAATATTGTATTTCTCAACACAAACTGTTAAACAATTTTGATTTCATGGGCCCCTGAGTAGGTTTTGGGGAACCCCAAGGGTCTTAGAACCACACTTTATGAAACACTGCTCTAAAGTTACAAGTTCCTTTAGTCTGTCCACAAGAAATTTAGTTTATAATCCCCTGATCCACCCCCATTCCCTTTTTTTGCATCTAACTTTTCTTGAAATGCGATACCCAGAATTGGACACATTATTAGAAGGAGGTATGAGCAGTGCAAAATGGATAAAATTATTCCTTCTCATTGGGCGAAAATATTTCCTTTGATTTAGCCATTTGCCTTTTTGGCAGTCATATCACGCTGCTGACTCAGGTCAAAGATCATTTTCCCAATGCACTTAACTAAATCCTCCCCATCCTATCCTTATACATTTGTTTCTTTAATCTATATACTACTTTTTACTAAAATATACTACTAAAACTCTGCTTCCTGTAACCTTTAAGTGCATGAAACGATGCATCACACGGCAACAGTTTTTGAACTAAGGTATCTCAAATGGACAAACTTAGAGAATGTGTCCCAAATCTGGGAACCATAATAACCCCTTTGGCAAGTGTTATAAAACGTTTTATGACATAAAAATTAAAATGTCATAAAACATTTCCTGTGCTGATGTTTGACAGTGATGTATAGTTCACCTTGGATATTTTCAAGGCCAATACATTCCTGAACATATACCAACTTTTCCAGTGAATACAGTATATTAGAAATTGTCATAGTTGAAGGCAGTGAGGAATCTAGTAAGGAAATCTTTCTGAAAGCCTGAAAGTTGTCATGGGTTGTCTGGTTATTTCTGTTACATTAGCCCACTGCTGTAATGTCATGGTCATGGGGCTTTAAATCTAGCCTACAAAGACCTTCAAACACCACTTTACTAATAACATGAAAAGCATTTGGCTGGCATTTTTGGGTGATGCTATTATATCCTTGTATTCAAAGAAGACAAAATAGTTGTGATACTACTATTGAGGACTGTGACAAACTCCTTACTCTACAGGTTTCTTTTTGCCTGGAAAAGCAGGATGTAAAATAGGGAAAAATGCAGAGCTATATATACAGTATAATTTAAATTGCTTGGAAAAGGATAGGATTTGTAACATATTGTTATGCTGTCCAAGTCCTTTTTGCATTGTGGACCCAGAGGAATTCTTGTTCAAACCTTGGCTATTGTTCTATATGTCAGCCTCTTTCAGCTTACTATGTTCCAGATGGGCTAAAATTAAATTATAACTTCCAGAATTCCTAGCCATTGGTATGCAGTTCTTGATGAAGGCCTGGATTTTTAAAAATTCTTTTGTCTAGGGCTTTAGTGTTTATGGCTGTTTTATTATATTTGTTATCGCTATAAACATTTTAAAATTAAATTCTCATTTTAGGTAATATGAATCAATATGACTTTCTTTCTCCACTCTTTATTATTATTTTAATAAATTAAAAACTAAATCTGGCAATTGATGCAGATGTTTTATTGCTGCCATTTTGACCTGCCCAATGCCAGCTTTCCCATAAATCAGGAGTGAAAGGATCCTAATTCATTTTGGAATCCTACCTGCCTAAGGACTAAATAAATCAGAGAAGGGGTGAAAAGGGAACAGATGGAGAAAGCCATTTTTCTGCCTCCTGGTAGCAAGCTTGCTGTGATCAATCTTCTGTTAAGATTGTCAGCTGTAAATATTTCAATGATAAAAAGAGTTGGGATGGCATCTTGATTCCATGCTTGCTCACATGTATGTTCATATTGTTGTGAATTTTCATTTGGGAGTTTGGTGCCAAGGGCACGGTGGAAAAGGTGCTTTTGTTTCATAAATAAGGATTAAGAGTAACAAATTTTCAAAAGCCCTGGAACTAGAGTTACCAGATTCAGGCTGCAGAAATCCAGATAGCAGCAAGAAGCAAGTACATCCCGACCTCTTTTCTGTCATCTAGTGGCTGTTCAGATGTTTGCAGTCTAAATTTAATATCCTTACCAAGAACCATCACGTTACCTGCTCCTTTCTTTCAAGTCATTGGCTACCAAAATTGCATAAAATTCCAAACTATCTGGAGAACTTCAGATTGTTTATCTATAACCATGGTTTGTTGAATGAGCCCTATTACATCTGATTGTAGTTTAGATTAGAGCAGCGCTTCCCAAATTTTTTTTTTCATTAGCTGAAACCACCTATCCATTTTGCCCCATATAGTAGAAAGTTAAGTCAATTTAAATGTTCCTGTTCTGCTTGTGTAATGGGTAAACCACTTTCATCCAATTGGGTAATTTACCCTGATTTGGGAAATATTAGGTTAAGAGTGTTGGGTAAACCTAACTTGTATTAGAATTAGATAATGATAGCAGCAAAGATAG